GTACTATCATCGTAGGCATATATTTGAGACCTCTTCTGGTATGAGCTGGAATAAAGCATGTTCACGGAAACACTTTTTTTTCCAGGGAATTGCAGTTTGTCAGGTTTCTTGAAAGGCTATTCGAAATTGCTATATTTGCGTTTTTTGGTGTAAAGTGCGTTGTAAAGGGCAATCCAGACAACTGAGATTTTGAAAGTAGGTGCCAGGCAGCTTTCTGGCAAGTCTCCTCTTGTCTCTCATCCTTTTTCTTCCGTAGCGCACAATAGTGCGCGTAGCTGCCTAGCGCCACACACGCATCACTGCGACTTCTGTCTTTGCTACCTCGTCCTTTTCTTCATTTGATTTACCGGAGTCGTTTTGCATGTTTTTGAAAAATATCCTAGATGTGAGGGTGAGAACAGGACCGAACAGGAGTAGGGGCAACAGCATTTCGCTCCCACATCCACTGTGTTCGCTAGGCCAGAACGAAAGATAACGGTGTGTGAGAGCGGCATGGCAGGCCCTGCTCATCTCACTGCAATCAAAGACTTCGGCTGTGCAGCGGAACTTGATTTGCCATCGCTGTTATAAGCTGCAGTGGACTTTGAAAATGTCTTTTTTTACCAGCGGGGAGCCACCAATGGTAGTGTCTTTTAAACATGTGCTGCTGGCAAAGTGTTTTCGCTGAAGCCACTTGTGAGTGCTATCGCTGCTCACTGCGGATGCGACGACGATGCGAATGTCGTTTCTGACTTTGTTCCTCACCAAAAGCTTCGCCGGTTTCGTGCAGCTACACTGGTAATCCATGTTTCCTGCCTGTTTCCTCGCTTTCAGCGAATTTAGAGTTTATTTTGACAACATTGTCTTTCTAATTTTTGACCGGAAACATTCAGGTGTGTACTTTGTTAGCTTTTCCTGTGTGATAATAATGTCCGGATTCGCTTTTAAGGCCCATTTCGTTGACTGTCCACTACCTCTTCTCTCGCCCCTCTCCTTCGTTATCAGTGATATTTTTCAAGAAGTAAACCTTTGTTCCAAAATGAATTGTGTGCGTGCATGTGTATGTTTAGAGGATATGTCCCCAATTTGTCTATATATAAGGGTTGATTTTCGGAGAAAAAAAAAAGATTCTGTGCTCTGTTGTGTTTACTACTTCAAACTAGCACTATAACTGCATGTGGGACTGAGAGAGCATGCCTGGGGCCTAAT